GGAGTTGAGGGAGATGATGTATGTAGCAGAGAAATCATCAGATGATGAGTATTGAAGACAGAGAAAGGTAGTTATGAGTAAACGCATGATTCACAGCTCGGTAATGCCCAAATTGTTTTGCACGGCATCCGAGGTTACTAGCCTTACCCAAGAACTCGGAAGCCTGAGAACCCAAGTTATGACGCACGTTGCACGCGTATACAGGACATGCGTCAACAATCAACACAGCGGATATGCGGAGCCAGTGGATGTCTGAGGGGCGCAAGTACCACTGAGCTGGAGTCTTGGCCAAGAGGGACATGAATGGTTCGAACTATCTTGTTGCAGCTCTATCGGTACGGTCAATGAAAATCTTCCTGACCTTCGCAGTCGTCATCATCTATGCTGCCTTCTGGGAAGGATGCAGCAGCAATGGTATGCCCCGTTCTCGGCTACAGCACTCGAACCTTTAGTTTCAGATACCACCACAGCCGCCCCGGCCACCACACTTGCCCCGTCTACTACAGCTGCCCCGGCTACAACAGCCGCCCCGTCCACTACAGCCGCCCCGGCTACTACAGCGGCCCCGTCTACTACAGCCGCCCCGGCTACTACAGCTGCCCCGTCTACTACAGCCGCCCCGAATACAACAACCGCCCGGTTCACTACATTCGCCCCGGCTAATACTACTACAGCCGCTCCTACTACTCCGAGATAGATCCCTCAGCGATCACTCTTGGTAGCATCTGTTGCGGCCTTATCCTTCTTCGGAACTCTCGTTTTCTGCAAGCGGTGGGTATTCGTACTTTTCAGTCTATTCACCACTGCACTGCAGTCTAGTCTAGTCAGCTGACTATTGAGCACGGGCTTTGCGCACGTGCGTCGTAGAGCGCGGGAAGCTTCACATTATCTTCCAAATATCCCACGGTTCGGAGTTGTGTTTGGTCTCGAGCGTTGAGTAGCATGGGGAACAGACGACGAACACACTTCCACTCTTCATGATAGAAATCGAGTTGGTAAGTCGATCAGTTAATACAACTATAGATCCCACTCGACCATCACAGATGATCTTCTCACCCTCATCTTCGGACGAATTCAGTCACGAATGGATATTCACGCTAGTAACGGGTTGACTTGCCACACTATCGTATTGATGGGATGAGAGAGTGTATAAAACATGAGGTGTAACTAATATGACGAGGGTTTAATAAAACTCCCAGAACCACAAGGTTATCATACTCATTCCAGGGTGGGTGAGGGAGGTGGGATGGAGGAAATGATCCATAGGCAACAGGAATGACAGGAGTCAACTTCTCCAGTGCCGATAGATTGCTTGACTCACACTCGCTCGGTAAAACTCACAATATAAGGTGTCGCGTTGAATGTCATTTCGCGATAAGCTGGTGTGCGGCGAAGATGAGCTCGATGTTAGTGAGGCGACGATATCCTCAGTGATGAAGATGGTTGAGTCAGTCTTCATTCAGAGCCTCGACCTGATACTCTTTCCTTCATTGTGCACCAACCGAGGGGAAACGAGAATGAGACCTCTGTGGAAGCTGACAAGACTACTTCTGACGATCTTGCTTCCATCACGAACATGCGTACTGCTGCTCAATGAGTCCCCGATTATCTGGTGACTCGAGGTATAACGGCAAGAGCTCTGTCAACACGTTCAGCGATTTATGGGTGTGGATATTGTCATTTCGGCATATAAGTGAGTGTC